CCTCTTCCTTCTCTTTCTCCTCCCCTTCCTTGTCCTGTTCCCTGTCACCCTTCCCCTACCTCCTTCCCATAGATGTGTGTTCCTCAACAAATGGTTCTATCACAGTTCTTTGCATTCCACAGAGCAATTTGCTCCCAAATACCCCACACTGTACAGGCTTCCCAGAATTTCTCACACTCTTCCCCAGATCACTGGAGTACAGCTGCTTAAACCCAGCTCTGGCTCCTGCATCTTCTCCTGATCATCTACCTGCACTATGCTTCCCTGTGTCACAAGTGCTTCATGATATATATTTTCACAATATTTCTTACACCAAATTATATTTTCAGACAAAAATAGTTTCATTTTGTATAAGTAAGCCTTAAGGGCAATATCATATTTTTCTTAATCATATTTTTCTTAATAATAGAGGTCCTTTGGTTCCCCCTTGTGGCTGCATGGAGAATGCTGCTTAACAGGAAAGTGGGAGGAGGGGCTGAGGCCAAGCTCCTACACCACAGAGCTATCTGGAAACCTGCCCAGTAGCACAAGATATTGAGGGCCTCCACACAGAAAATATTGCCAATCAAAGCATCTTTCTGTATTTTATACTTTGAAAACTCTGGAGAAATATATTCCTATAACCAAAAATCAATCCATAGAAGTTATATTTTTCCCTTTATGGCCATTATTCAAATCATTTTTCCAATCATCCTAGGCTGGCCTGAAATCTAGTTCTCCTACCAGTTTCCTGTGTGTTTGGGAATGCAGGCATGTGCCACCACACCCATCTAGAAAAATGTATTTTTATTATTACATTTTAACTAATATTCAATAAACTTATCAGGCTTGAAATAAGCCTGGGTCACTGTATAGGTGGCAAGAATATCATTCATAAGCATTCCAGAAATGACAATGTAGAGATTTTACCAGTCTTTCTGTGGCAAATAGTGGTACACCCAACAGCCTGCTTCTACACACACACACACACATATATATATATATATATACATATATTATATATTTGTACGTATGTATATACCTGGACACATGCATGTTCTCAGAGAAAGAGGTACAAGCCAAATCACTGTCTCTGCCTGCTTTGTGTTGTAATACACAACGATCAAGAAAATACAACACAGAGGCACTTTAAAGGAGAAAAAGGAGTTGTTATTACTCAGTCTGCAACCCTATCCTGGGTTACCTCAGAACTAGGAGCAGCTCCAAGGGGGCAAGTTTTTTTTTTTCCATTTTTCCTCCTTCCCACAGGCCTCTCCGCCCTTTGCAGGCCTCTCTGCTCTTCCAGCCCCTCTGCAGGCCTCTTTACCTCTCCATCGGCCTCTCTGATCTCCACCAGCCTCTCAGCTCTCTGCCAGCCTCTCCAATCTCCGCAGGCCTCTTTGTTCATCACAGGCTTTTCCACCTCCTCACCGGCCTGTCCAGCTCTTTACTGTCCTCTCTGCTTTTCTGCCAGCCTTGCCACTTCTCCATCAGGCCTCTGTGATCTCTGTGGGACACTGTTGGCCTCCTTGGGCCTCTCTGCTCTATGCAGGCCTCCTGGCCCTGCATGTGCATCCACGGCCCTATCTGCCTGCCTGGGCCTGTCTTCTGGTCCAGGTCTCCCTCAAGCCAGCCCGTGGTTTCCTGGGCCTCTCTACCCCTCTACCCGCGGGGGCATTCCCTCAGGCCGACCCGGGTCCCTTTGGGCCTCTCTTCCAGCCTGGGTGTCCGTGCAGGCCTGCCCAGGTCTCTCCGCCAGCCTGAGTCTCTTCAGGCTGGCCTGGCCTTCCCCAGGCCTCTCTGCTGGCCTAGGTCTCCACTCAGCGTGGGCACTACTGAGTGTTACTGATTAGAGCTTTTACCACTACGCTCTCTTCACCCTGAGGAGTAAGTAGAACCTCTACTTATTACTGGGTGTGGAAGTTTTGAGAAACAGACCTCAGATGCCACGTCCCTTGCTGTGTGGCTCTTACCACGTGGCTCTCTCTTCTCTCTTCTCCAGCCGGAACCTCCCCCTTCCTATATCCGGTGGCCCGCCCCCCAAGCCACCCTTTGACGACCCGCCCCCCAGCGTTCTGGCATGCGTGGTGGTGACGTCAGCATGGGGTGGGACTTTCCGCTCTCCCCTCCCCAGGTTCTCACAGTATGAGTGCCTTCCACCAGAAGAATGGAGCGACAAAAGGACAGGACAAGAAATACACGAACATCTCAGTCAGTATAGAAAAGTCTCCCTCATACCCATTGTGCAGGTGACCTTGAGCAGGCATAGCTAGATGCTTTTCCGCCCAAAGCATTGGAGATCCTGTTGATTGATCTCTAGCAATTCTAGGGGTAGAAATTGTAGGGGCTCTGAGTCAGTGTTAAGTGGACAGCCTATGGACAATCTGGAAGTCTGGAGACACAGACAGGAGATTTTTCTGCATAAACCTTCCCTGCTTTCTCTTCTATACATGTTTCCCTTTAAAGCTGGTTATATAGAATTTTATTGTATTGGTGCTCACGATGCGCACAAACCTAGCCTCTAGAACCAGCGGAGACCGCTAGCATTACAGCTCGGCAAGCGGCAATGCCACCTAGCCTTGCCGCCCTGCCACAATCAATGCCGCTTAGTGTTTCTGTCCTGCCCTACCCTTGCCGCTCTGCCACAGGCACACTAGGGAGTGAGCAATACCTATCTAGCGTTGCTTTTCAGCAGTGAGCAATACCTGCCTAGCATTACCGCTCAGACATGGGCCAATGCCTGCTTAGCGTTGCCTCTTGGCAGTGGGCAATGCCGCTGTCACTCTGGTGTGGTTATACAGCAGACCATGTTCCTATATGTTGCGGCTTGGCAGCAGGAAATTCCCACTTAGCATGGGGGCTCCACTACCAGCACTGCTGCTGTATTTAATGAATTCTTTTCTTCAGTAATTGAAGGAAGACAAAATATGGAACAATGAAGGATGAGTACTGAAAACATCATCCAAATAAGTTTCTTGATCAAGACGCTTTGTCTGTAGTGTGTTTGCTTTGTCTACCCTGGGTCTCTAAAAGGAGGGTCTTTTGTACCCTGGAATATGCTCAGAATGGTTGCCTCTATGCAAATGAGGTGTAAGACAGCTCAGCAATCAGAGAAGACCAGCTGAATCTTTGTGAGTTTGCATTCCTGAAACTGCAGTTCTCAATTAGGTCGGTCTCCTGTACTCTACACCCCCACCACAACACACATTGAGGAACTAGAGAGCAAGAAAGTGAAAGGATTTTTTAAAACAGTTTGCATTTTCTATAATCAGGTCTCAGCTGGCTAGCCCAATAATGCCTAATGCTGCAGCAGAAGCCTGATTGAGATTCAGCTTTACCCTCTCATTACTCAATATGGTCATGTGTGACTTACAAGCTATAAGTTAGCACATATTTCCCATATTGTGCAGTATCCAGCTCCTGGGTTCCACCCCAGCACATATGCTTCTCTCCTCCCTATGGGACCAGGCTTTGAACTCAGAGTGTCATGCATGATAGGCTTATACTCACTACGTGGGCCCCTTATCCTTGCTTTTTGCTGCTTATTTTGGAAACAGAATCCATCAAAAATTTTCCCCTGGCTGGCCTCAAAATATAAGCCTCTGAATCTCAGCCTCTTGAATTAGTGCTATATGTGAGATGAGGGCACAATTTGTTAAGTGTCAGGTATCCACTTTTTGCTATGCTTCCAACTTGGAAGCTTCCTCTTTTTGTGTACTGGAATTCACTGCTAGTCACACAGCCCTTTTTAGACTGTAGGTCAGTCAAACCCAACCTGCTGCACAAATTGAACAGGTCCCTCTTGTTTCAGCACCCTGGGGTAACAGATGGGCAACCTACAGAAATTAGCTGTACCATACTGATAATTTAAAGTTAAAGCTAAAAGCCACAGTAAGTCTATGATCCCAAATATTCAAGTAGACCTTCTTCTCATCCACAGTGCAGGAGATAGGATAAAATTTCTTTGACAGATCCCTTAACAGGTAGGAAAAAGCCCACTCACATGCTAAAAATATGGACATTTACAAGTCCATATTGACACCCAGGCCTTTGCAAATCATGTTCTTTGTGTACAAGTTACTACCTTGACTAAGGCTGCTGAGATAGACCACCCAAATATTGCAGCAAGTGATAAGTGGATTTCTGACTAACAGACAAAACACAATTGAGGTTTAGGTATGGATTTTCTGATTAGTCATATAGGCTGGGAGAAGCCATTATACCTTTATCTTCACTCACACTAAACAGGGGTAAAATACCTTTCTATAACCCATTTTTTATATATATTCAGGGGTAATATTTTGTTCAAGTCATTAACACACATAAGTAAAATATATAACATTGTGATATAAGCTGTTTTCTAATACTTGGAAGATGCATTTATAATTAACCAAAATAAAAATTGCTTAATTGCTACAAAAGCTACACAAGGTTTATTAAAATATTAAAGCTAGTAAGAATAATAATCTACTCATTCTCACTCAATTATATTGAAAAATAGGGCAATATATGAAAAATACTATTTTTATTCTCCTTCTCCTTCTCAGGCCAAGATAAGAGCTCCCTCTCCCTCTGAGGCCCAACCAGGAGCTCCCTTTCCCTCTCCTGAGACCTTGACCTGTTTTGGGGAACTGGGTACTGAGAGTATTGTATTACTGAGTCAGGGTAGTACTAAGGTTTGAACTCTAGGCTTCTGCTTGCTAGGCAATGAAGCCAATCCCCAGCCATGTTTTCCTATATTTTTCAGGTAGCTTCTTGAGATTTTGCCCAGACTGGCGTCAGACCCTCATCCTATGTACCTGGAATCACAAGTGAACTTCCTACCACTACCCTTCCCACAACACAGATGAAAGCACAAGTTAAAGCAGAAGTGTTCCTGCTTTAGTAAAGAACTGAATATGAATGAGAAAAATACACTATATGTCTACTCATTGCCAGTGACTCAGGTCTTTTAGTGCAAATATGTGGTGGCTCTGAAAAGAGCCTTTGGGTTTCAATGCTTACGGGATGCAAAAAATGGTTTATTCGTTCTCAAAATACCGAAGCAAGGCTTTGGTGGCCTGCATCATGGCTTCCTTGCCGAGTTTCTCAGGCAGCAAGAGGCAAACAGCCGTCTGGATATCTCTGGAGGTGATGGACGACCGGTTGGTCTTCTGGATCAGACGGCTGGCCTCACTGGCAATGCGCTCAAACATGTCATTTACAAATGAATCCAAGAGGCAAACTACTCTCTTGGATAGTTCGAGCTCATGGGTACTTTTCTTCAGCAAATGGGGGAAATAGCGCGCATAGCTTGTTTCGCACCCCGTTTCGCTGTAGCGGTAGCGGCGGCGACACACTGGCTTCTGTTTTTCAGTTGTCAAGTTGGCCTTCTTATGCTTCTGAGGACCCGGGTTCTCTGAAAACCCCATCTGAGACCTTCGCTTGGACATCGCGAGGAACTTGTTACTGGAGAACCGGAAAACCGCGGCTTTTCAAGGGTGGCATTGTCCCGCCTCATGACCAAACTTAACATCGGATTGGATGACATGTCAAGAAGCGATCCTATTAAACTAAACATGGATGCTTAGTGTGATTGGTCAGCTCTACTGCTTAACAAAAGATCCACCAATCATATCTGCAATTCGATGTGATTGGGCCCCTTTCCTGACTGGCATCTCAGCTACCAATGATAGTGGATACTCGATGTGATTGGCCGGTCCTATATCACTTGATAGACTAGAGAATTTTTTTTTGTCGGTCCTGGGGCTTGAACTCTGGAACTGGGCTCTGTCCTGGAGCTCTTCAGCTCAATTCAAGCGCTCTGCCACTTGAGCCACAGCACCACTTCTGGTTTTCTGGTGGTTAATTGGAAATAAGAGTCTCATAGACTTTCCTGCCTGGTCTGGCTTTGAACCGCGATCCTCAGATCTCAGCGCTCTACCACTGAGCCACCTTCCCAGACCTGAGCTCCTCTTTTCAATTTCCACCAATGCCTCAGTTTATCAGGGAAAGGAGAAATTCCAAAAGCACATTTTCAAAAATAACATAAAAATAAGGAGCTATTCGGTATAAAAATATAAAACATTTATTGAGGTTAAAGGCAGATAAGGCAGTTTCTGAGCAGTCTCTGCACTTAAATAGACCACCTTGTGTCCTGATCGGATGATTTGTGTGGCAAAGAGCCTATCAAAAAGTTACAAATGAAAAAAAAAAAAAAAGAAAAAGTTACAAATGGCTGCGCTTAAGAACAGATTGACCGGGGCTGGGAAGGTGGCTCAGTGGTAGAGCGCTTGCCTTGCATGCCT